GAGGAACAGGCGAAGGATGAGGAAGGAGGACGACGGGAACTGCAGCAGCAGAAACAGGAGGAGCGGAAGCAGGAGGACCAGGAGAAGGCACGGGAGGGGAAACGAAAGGGGCGGCATCGACGAGGAAGCAGTCGGATCCAGAAATAGGGACCGTGCTGAGCAGGAGCGGCAGTCTGAACGACAGGAGCCAAGCGCCGATCCTAAAATGAGGCCAGCGCTGAAGCGGGGGCACCATCATGGAAGGGCCGTGAAGGTTCGGATGAGAAAAGAGACGTCAGAAAAACAAACAACAGCTCGGACCCATCCTCTGTATATAACCACAATAAGAGGAAGGGGGCGCGACACTCGCAGCACGTCTGTGAGGGAGAGAGGCGAGTCGTATTTACGGTTGAGAACTTGTGCTTAGCGTGTCGCAGCGGCGGCCACGGAGACATGATATGCCTGGCAAGCTGATCGCCTGTCGCTCCGCTCCGCGGGGCGGGAGGCTCGGAAAAGCTTGGGAAGTTGACGCTGGGCGGCCAGGAAATGGACAGCGTGCCGCACCGAAGCGTGGTGGGCCAGAACCGGCGGAGCGACACGCTGAGCCAAAGTTCCTGACCGTATGTCGGAGTGTGAATCAAGGGTTGGCAAATACCCCTTTAGCAAAACGCCCTTTAGCGAAAACTGCTGGGGCACGGTGCAGATTCCCTCGGTCGACTTGTCTGGGTGGGCGCTCTCTCAAAGTCCGAGTGAAGGACAGAGAGCCTGCAGCAGAAGAAGGAGAAAAACAAAAACAAGCTACATGAACAAACATAAATGGCGCTCCGCGCGGACTTCTCGGATCTGCGCTGGGACACCCTCCCTGGCGCGCCGAGCGCGCCAGGGGCGCCGCGGGGGGGGGGGGCCAGCGCGGATTCAAGGAATCTGCGCGGAGCGCCAACAGTTTTATGTTGACGCCGTTTCCCTTCTTCGATGCAAAAAACACCCCGCACGCCTCCGAGGGTCCAGCCACCCAGCGCTCGCGCGCGGACTCCCGCGCGGCCCTCCCGCTGCCCGCAGGCCCCCCCGCTCCCGCCCCCCCCCCCCTGCTCATTGCCGGGCCTCCTCCTCCCGCGCGGTCGCCCTGGAGGCCTCCCAGGGATGGGGTCCGAGCAGACGTGGTCGGAGGATCGCGCCGCATAGCCGATCCACTGCCGATGCATGGGCGTCGCCGGCGTGGAGAAGATCGGGCCCCACATCGAGCCGCATCGCCGAGGCATCGGCGATGCGGCTCGATGTTCCGACCCTATCTGCTCGGACCCCATCGGGGAGGCCTTGACACACGCCCTCCTCTTCTGTCCCTCACCAACCAAAGCTGTGCTGATTCGAGAACAACGCCGCGCCTTCAGCACTAACCAAGCAAGACCAGAGTCACGCGAGGCACAAGCTTCAACAGGCGAGCCAGGGCACGGAACCTTGGCGTGTGCAGCAACACCAGAGCTTGTGTCCTCCCCCGGCGACGTGGCAAGGCTGTCCCGTGAACAGGGCCGACACCCGCCCTCTTCTTCTACCGCTCTTCGCGTCCCCGGCTATCGCTCGGATGTCCGTTCCCTGATTTTATTTCGGCTTCGTGAGTGTTTTTTGTTTCGCAGGATGACCCGGAATGCTCCTCGATGGTCCCTGCCAAGAAACAGCGCACACGTCCAAGCGATGCTGGGATCCTGTGCAGGCACCTTGCGTGTCTCCCTGCTCGTCTCTGCCATTTCGAGTAGGGGATCGACTACAGATTTGATTTAACCCAGAATTTTGTTGTCTCGCTGAAGCGACCCCAGAAACGTGGAATGGTTTACGAGCGTTCTACATATTTTTCGTGCACTCGACGAGCACATCAATTTGGGGCTCACGCCCGACACGGGGGGCGAACAACGGTGGGACAGTGCCCAACAGCAACTGGTTACATCCCAGACCCGCAGCGGCCGCGGCTGGGCAGGCGACGCCCGGCGCCAAGAGGACGACGCCCGCCCGCAGCACGGACGGCGAGGATCCTGCTCAGCACAGCGGAAGCACGAGCGCCCTCAGCACCTCCGCGATGTGCAGTGCGGCAGCTCCCTATGGGGCCACGAAGCGCTGTACTGGGTGTGCGGGACGCATGCGGACGGTAGCACTGGGACCTTCGGTGGGGCTCCCTATGGGGCCACGAAGCGCTGTACTGGGTGTGCGGGACGCATGCGGACGGTAGGGAAGAGGGGGGGGCACAAGAGGAGGAGAACGCGGGACCGTCTCTTCAAAACGAGGACCCAACACCACAGGATGGCTAGGAAAAACATCTGGCCCCTGGAGGCTAGATTTATGTTGCTTCCATCGTACTTAAGGACCGCATCCCAGCAAATAATTGTCGAGCACCCGGAAAAGTATCGAAAGAGTGTCGAAACGGTGTCGAAACAGTGTCGGGCGAGTGTCTCCCAGGGCACGACACGTGAAAACCCTCGAGATTCGGTACTTTTTTTCTGGTGCTCGAAATTCTTTCGGGTTGCCAAGGCTAAAGTCGGTTGGAACATCATAAGGCTGAATGCTTATCCATGTCCACTGCGCCTCAGCCTTTTGGCGCCTCCTCCCAGAGAGTCCAAGACGCAGTGGACATGGACATGTCAATGTGGCACCCCGCAGTTGCGGATAAGAGTGAGGGGGCGGGCGCGGGGTGGGTCGCGGGTGGGTCGCGGGCCGGTCGCGGGTGGGCCGCAGGGTGGGTCGCTGGTGTCGCGGGGCGGGTGGCGGGTGGGTCGCGGCACCCCGCAGTTGCGGATAAGAGTGAGGGGGCGGCGGTGCCGTCGGCAGTCTGCGAGGTTCTGAAGAAGCCCGCCGCCGCCGACCTCCTCGCCGAAGAAATCTGGGTGGGTCGCGGGATGGGTCGCGGGTGGGTCTCGGGTGGGTTGCGGGCCGGGTCGCGGGTGGGTAGCAAGTGGGTCGCGGCTGGGTCGCGGGTGGGTCGCGGGCCGGGTCGCGGGGGGGACGACGACAACAAACAACAAACAACAAACAACAGCAAGCTACAACCACAATCGGCACCGCAAAGCCTCACTTCAGCCGCGCGCCCTGGGACAGCGACTGACCGTTCGGCCCCATCCCACTCCGACAGGTCTTGCCCGCAACCTCCTCCCTCCGCCGCTCCTGGACTGCCCTGTCATGACGGAGACGGGTGCCGAGGGCAACGGGTCCTGAACCTCGGGGCGCCCCCCTGGGGGCCCCTCTTTCGTCCCGCGGCGTTCTTGACAGCCCCGGGCCCGTGGGGGGCCCTGCAGGGAGCCCGACAACATTAAAAACCTGGGGACCAGCTTCCCACAGGACTCAGTCGAGGAGAGCAAAGATCGTGTTGGGAGGGAGGGGCTGAGAGGACGAAGGGCCCGAGCTCTAGCATCCAGATGCAAAGAACGATACCTTCGGCCGCCGGCCCCTTCCTCCAAACCCGATGCCCATCGGTCGTAAGAAGTAAGTCGAACCATGAAGTCGGGAGGCGTTGAAAATAGATTGGGTGTCCGCCCGCCCTCTAACGAGGACGGAAACAGGTGAAGCCACTCGATCATTGAAACATGAAGGCGCTTTGACAATAAGCTGGGATCTGGGAATCCAAAAATACCTGCTTTCAACGACCGAAGGGTACCTGTCTTCCTGAGCATGTGCTTCGTGGCGAAGTGGTTGCCCCCACCACCACCACCCCCGCCCCACTCCGCCACATGGGAGAGCCGCCTCCTCGCGCCGCGCGCTCCCTGCCCGCCCGCTCCTCTGGGGGCCCCGGGGTCCGCTCGGAGGGCGGTCCTCGAAGCGGGCGCACAGAACGCAGCCCAGCAGCTCCTGGTAGTCGCGCACGTCGGGCACGTGCACCTGGCCCCCGGTAGGGGCCCCAGTAGGTGGCGACATCCGAACCCTACCCCCACCAACCATCGGGTCTCCTCAATCGATGGGAGGCGAGGGTAGGCTTCGGATTTTCCCGCCGACCCAGCGGCTGCGGGGGCTTCTCGCCGGACGGGTGGGTTAGGAGTCCACTTGTGGGAGTTCTTCGCAAGGACGACTCAACGCTACCATGGGCCCGATATGGGGCCAAAATGACAGAGGGCGCATAAGCCTGGTGAGGCTGGACTCATCGGCAAGACGCGGAATCATGCGGGATTTGGAGGGTTAGGCCAGATTTCGACCACGGGTGTAGCAGCGCGTTCTCGCGTGAGCTGTCCGCGCGGGCCATCCGCACACAGCCGCCCTGCATCCAAAGGGTCGCTGTCCAGGAGTCCGGACCGCTAGACTGTGAGTACGGATATGCCTCCCGTCAACACGCCTTTCCCACGGACCACAGAGCCTGCGAGTGCCTAGCGACGACCTCCGTGCCAGGGCAATCTGGGTTGAAAATGAAGGGGCCTTGGGACACACAAGTAAATTCACACAAACAACAGGATTCCCCATATCTCCCCATGTTCTCCGGGTTTCTGCCTCCCCCCCCCTTCCCCTATTTTCCAATTTTCTCCTGGGACTCGACAATGCGTTGTGTCTGTGTGTACTTTCTCCTCCCGAGAGAAATCTGCCCGAAGATCTGGACGCGAGGGCCTGGCGCAGCGCTTCCGCGCGGCGCCTGGCAACCCGACGTCGGAGCGAGCGCTGCGCCGCCCGCAGGGCCTGGGCCGCCAACTCGGCCCCTGCACCGCCTGGGCCTCCCGGGCTCCGCCTTCGGGGTGGCCGCTGGCTCCGGCGTCCTCCGTGGGCCCCGCACTGCTGTTGGCAGCGCCGGGAGGGGCCCTCCGAGCCCTCCTTCACTCCTCCTCCTCCTCCTCCTCCTCCTCCTCCTCCTCCTGCTCCTGCTCCTGGTCCTCCTCCTTCTCCTCCTCCTCCTGCTCCTTTTCCTCCTCTTCCTCCTCCCCCTCCTCCTCCTCCCCGTAGCCATTTTGGCTCAAGATGGCGACCTGGGGGGCTGTCCAGCCTCCAGGCCGAAGGGAGACCTCTGGACCGAGGACAGTTCCCAGACGGGCGTCGGGCGCGCGCGCGGCACTGCTGCAGCCATGGGGAGTGGCGGCGGCGGACGCGGGGCGGGCAGCGCCTGGTCGGGGACCCCGAATCGCCAGAGAGTGCCCCCGTGGAAGAGGAGCAGCAGTGGCAGTCGCCCTCCTCGCAGCAGCTACGTGGTGTGTGACGGGTGCAGCAGATGGCGCTACTGCAAGAATATCACCAGCAAAGGCGACCTCTGCATCTGCGGCAAGAATCTCGCCTGCCTCGTCCCTGACGGACACGTTTTCCGTGACGAGGATGGTGGGTGGGTGGCAGCACAGCCCCAAGGAGGAACCTCGCCCAGGATCAGCTGGGCAGATGGTTGGCAGCCAGGAGGCGGTGCTGGCGGGAAAGGGCAAGGAGGCCAACGCCAGCCACCACCTCACGACAAGACCGCCGATCTCAAGGCCGCAGCCGCAGCAGCATACGGCAAACTCAGCAAGGACGACCCGCTCAGGCAGCACTACGAGGCCCTCTGGCCAGAGCTCGCCGCAGCCAAGCCACCAGCAGATCAACCAGTCGTTGGATTCAAGGCAGTGGAGGCAGCAGCTCGGCGCTTGGACAAACTCCAGAAGAAGGTACGATCGGCAGGGGAGCAAGTGGAGAGTGCCCAGCAGTACTTGGCTGAGAGTGAACGCAAGCTTCGTGAAGCTATGGAAGCCTCCATTGCAGCAGAAGATGAGTTCGACAAGCTCAAGGCCACAGTCGGCAAGCAAGAGGCACCAGCCGAACCCGCAGACGAGAAGCCAACGCTGGCAGCCCTCCTGGAGCAGTTCGAGCACGAGCCTGATGACTTCCACAAGTGGTCCGAGCCTGACAAGGAGGTCTGGCGAGCTGCAAAGGCCAAGGGCGAGCGCATGGCCCAGACGGTCAAGGAGCACGAGGAGGAGACGGCGAAGCACCTGCGACTTCTGGAGGAAGAGACGGCCAGGCACCAGGAGCAGCTGCGCCAGCTCGAGCAGGCCCGCACCAAGCGCCTGTCAAAGAGCGGAGAGCCAGACCCAGAAGCAGCAGAAGCCCCACCAGGCAAGCGTGTCTGCGCTGCCAGCCCAGCCCCTCAGCGAGGTGCCACCACAGGCGCTGAGGCAGCAGGGTCAGCTGTTGCGGCTGCGCCTAACGGCGCCGCGGCAGCTGCCCAACCAGAAGCAGGTGCAGCAGAACATGACAAAGCAGAGGGACGCCGAGCTAGAGTGGAGGCCCACATCCAGGAGGCGCGGGAGAAGGTCTCGCAGGCCAAACGCGCCGAGACAGTCGTCGACGCAGAAGGGCAAGGTGACCACTCAGCAGGGTAGCCGCCCCAAGGCGAGCGCGAAGAAGGCTCGCCGCCCTTACCACATCGACTTCTTCAATGCCACGACCTGGGGCCCCCAGGCACAGGGCTACCTCATGGAGATCAACGACACCAAGGACAGGGACATCATTGGCATCGCGGAGCACCACCTCCGCCAGCCTGCGCAGATAGGCAAGGCAAGAGCGGCGCTCAGGAGGAATGGCATGCACAGCTACTGGACCAAGGCACGGCCAGGAGAAGGAGAAGGCACTCGAGGTGGAACGTGTGCCATTACGCGAGGATCCTTGGACGTCCAGGACAGGATCGCGGGCTTCGACGAGCACTACCTGCACGAGGACGGCAGCGACGTCACGGTGGTGATCTCCAACCTGCACAAGGTCCGCTTCGCAGTGGCCTTCGTCTACCTTGAGTGTGGGACGGGCTTTGGAGAGAGGAGCGTCGACATCCTCTGCGACCTGCGGGAAAAGATGGCCGTCTGGGGAGGGCCATGGGCAGCGCTTGGGGACTTCAACATGACGCCGTCGGAGTTCAACAACAGCATCTGGCCCAGGGTGCTGAATGCCCAAGTAGCAGCGGCGGAGGATGGCGCCCCCACGTGCTTCCCAGCAGGAGGCGAAGCCAGGTGCATCGATTTCGCGCTGATCTCGCAGGGCCTGGCGCCGCATTTTGACCAGCTAGAGCTGCTCAGGACCGTGCCGTGGAAGCCGCACATTGGCATCCGCTTGAAGCTGAGAGGGCGGCCTCTAAAGCTCAAGGGCAGGGTACTTCGCAGGCCAGCAGCCATAAAGCCACCAGTCGCAGTCGAGAGAATGCCGAAGTCCAGAGCCGCTTGCAGGCGAGCGGCGCGAGGAGGCCAGGAGGCCATGCGTCGACGTCAGCAAGCGTTGGCAGAGGCAGGATGCGACCATGAAGAAAACGACATGGAGCCAGTGCCGCAGCTGTACTACGACAAGGAGGCCCATCACGTCATCCCTGACGAGCTGTGGCAGGCCACCTCCGAGAGGGTCAACTTGCGTGTCTACGACGAGTTGCCCCAGCACTTGCAGCACACTGTCGTCGGCAAGATGATGGAGCGGGACATGCTGGATCTGGGGCAACAGTACGACCACTTCGCTAGCACACTCGAGCTCAGCCTGTGCGAGAGCATCGGCATCCCAGAGGAAGAGCGAGGACGTCATCTCGGGCACAGCAGGCCCCCGAGCTACAAGAGCGCGCGCATCAAGGACACCGTCACCTCTACGCCATGGGCAGGGGTTGAAAGGAAGATCCATGCGTGGTGGGCGGAGATCTCCTCCTTGGTGCGGCAGCTCTCGCACCGCGACGCCCGAGCGCAGGAGGCAGCGGCATGGCGACAGGGCAAGACCCATGCACCTCCCGATGAGGACTCGGGAGGAGGACAGGGCCCGTTGGAGTCGGAGCCTGGCCCCGTCATGTCGGGCAGCCAGGAAGGCCACGAAGAAGGCGACCCAGCACCAGCCTTGAGCCCATCGAAGAGCTCGGGAGGAAGCTCGGTGGCACGCTCCCCCACCGAGCGGGGCAAGGGCCCCCCCGAGCTGCAGCAGCGGAGCGCAGGCAGTGGAGGCGCAGCAGGAGGCGACCCAGACCTCCACGTGGGACAAACCCACAGCACCGCAGACAGCTGCCCAGAAGGGATGCACAGGGGTGCCCTTCCCCCACCAGCAGGGCGCAACTCCATGGACATCCAAGATCACGACCCCTTCGAGGATGAGGAGGACTACTTGGAGTACCGCCAGGAGATCGCAGACCAGGAAAACAGCGATGGGTACCACCAGCACATCGAGGGGCAGCAGGCCAGCCTCGAGTCCAGCCAGACCGCTCGCCGTCGAGCAGCTGGACCTGATTCTCACCCACCAGCAGGGCGCAGCACTATGGACGTCCAAGACCTCGACCCCTTCGAGGAAGAGGAGGACCGCGTCCAGAACCGCCAGGAGTCCGCAGACCAGGAGGACTGCGATGAGTACCACCAGCGTATCGAGGGGCAGCAGGATGGCAACGGCTACGGCCAGACCGCACGTCGTCAGGCAGCTGGATCTGGTGAAACCGCCCCAGGTGACACGCACTGCTCACCTCCTCAGCCAGCTGGCACTCAGGAGGCAGAGGGTACCGATCACCTGAGGAGTCAGAACCATGCGCCGCCAAGCCCAGAGGCAGATGAGCAACGAGATATGGGCCTGCCCCCTTCAGACCCCTGGAATGACGACCAACACCAGCGGGAGAGGGAAGACTACGTGGCCATGAGAGACGACCTGGAGCACTGGGCGGCCATCTGGATGGATAACTTGGTGCAGCTCCCCACGGACAACAGCAACTGGATGCAGATCTGTGTGCCGTTCCTGGAGACCATCCTGGGAGGCGGAGGCAACAATGGCATGGTGAGACTGCTCAGGCGTAGGTACCAGCAGGCCGGCCTCAGCCACATCATCAGGGACCTCTGCGAGCGAGCATGGAGAGACATGCAGAACCACGACGCCGAGGCTTTCTCCAAGGACTTGCGCGAGAGGTGCCGACGAGGAGGCACGAATTGGAAATGATGCATTGGAGGGAGCTCGCAAACCTGCGGAGGTTCATGCGAGAAGTTATAGGCGAAAGAGCACCAGAAGGAGCAGCGCGAAGACAACTACATGATGCTCCAGGTACAGGCAGTGGCCAGAGTAGCCGCCGAGTGCAGCAGGTCCGCACCCACAGTGGCCGCCAGACGCAGCAGCAGATCAACACAAGACAGCAGCTTGCCCAGCAGCTCAACCAGCCTGACCCAGGCAGGCTGAACGATGAAGGTGCAGCCAAGGACCAGCAGCAGGCCCTCCTCGCAGACCTGCACGCGATAGCAGAGGGCGCCCTCGTGGACCCAGGGACGATCAGCAGGGTAGCAGAGGAGGTAAAGAGCATGGCCAAGCTGCTTACAAAGGCGGTGAAGAAGGCGTACATCCACTGGGTGCACGACGCCACGGCAGGCAGTGCGAAGATGGCCCACGCCTACACCAAAGCAGCGGAGCGCAGCCATCTGGAGGACATCCTAGAGCACGAGGGCCAGGTCATCAACCACCCGCAGCAGCTGGTGGACTTGCGCAAAGAAGCATGGCAACGCAGGTGGACACGAGATGCGCAGAAGGCCGAGAGGATCCAAGAGGCGCTGGCCAAGCTGAGGCAGGCTGCCCTGGCCCAAGAGAATACCCTCGAGCCCATCAGCAAGGACATCATAGGCTCCATCATCCAGCACCTGAAGAGCAATGCAGGCCAAGGAGCGGACTGGTGGAGGGCTCCAGAGCTCAAGGCCATGGGAGCCCAAGGGCTGGAAGACTTCGTGCAGTGCCTGACCAGCTGTGAGCAACGGGCAGCCTGGCCGTGGCAATTCTACCTGGTGCTGGAGCTGCTGCTGGGTAAGAAGCAAGGAATCGGGGGAGAGCGCCCCATCGGCCTCATGCCCATGCCGTACCGCATCTGGAGCGCAGCCAGGAGGCCCATAGTAGCCACCTGGAGCAAGGCAGCGGCGGGCTTCTGGGATACGGCAGTAGCTGGCTCCTCAGCGCTGCGAGTGGCAATGCACAGACTTATGAGGGCAGAAGCCGCCACGGAGATGGGCTTTCATGCAGCAGGAGTGTTCTACGAAGCGGCAAACTTCTACGACAACATAGGCCTCGACCAGCTGATCGAGAAGGCCAGTGCCCTCCAGTGCCCGTTGCTGCCGCTGGCAATGGCCGTGCAGATGTACCTTGCGCCCAGGGCCATCATGGCCCACAGCCTCTTCTCGGACATCTTTGAGCCTACCAACAGCATGGTAGCAAGCTGTGGCCAAGCGGTAGACCTCACCAGACCGCTCTTGTATGGAATCCTGGATGCAGCGCACAGGCACCACATCTTCGTCGTCATGCAGCAGTACCTGGACGACTTGGCCCTGCAGGTAGAGGGCGCGCGGCGGCAGGTCATTGACCAGATCAAGCACGTGGCGGCGCTGGTGCACGATGGTTTCAAGCAGCTCGCGATCCCCATCTCTGTCAAGACGGCAGTGGTGGCCTCGGACAAGGACCTCCAGGCAGAAGTCGCCAGCATCCTGGACAGCCTGGGCACCCCCAACAAGCAACCAGGGGTGGTGCGCGACCTCGGCGTGGACACCAGCCTTGGAAAGCAGCTGCGGCGACCCACCCATGCCGCGCGCCAGGCCAAGGCCAAGCAGAGGGTGGCCAAGCTCAGGGGCCTGGCGAAGACGGACGCCAGAGGCGCGGCAAAGGTCTATGCAGCAGGTGCCTACTGCCAGCAGGCTTGGGACTTACCAGCGCACGGCATCACGCCCACGGAGGCGAAGTTGGTCAGGGCAACGGAGGCAGCGCTCCTCACAGGCGGACACAAGGCTGGACGCTGCACGTCCACCATCCTCCTGATCCAGAGGGGTATGCAAGAGGCAGTCACCCGAGCCATCGGCGACCAGATCAAGCAGTTCTGGCTCACCGTAGTCGACCACCCGACGGAGCTCAAGAGGTACCAGAGGGGCTGGCTCCTGCTCTACGCCAAGCTGGGCGCCCTGGAACCCAACCGCAGGTGGCAGCAGGTCAAGGGGCCTATGGCAGGGGTCATTGTGCAGTTGCTTGGGTTAGGCTGGATACCGCGACGCCTGGACAGCTGGATCAGCCCAGCAGGTGACGAGTGGGCCTACAGGCCAGATGACATTCCCCACTTCGGCGCGCTCCTGCATGAGGTCCAGCAGAGCGCGCAGCAGCAGCTCTGGCAGCAGGCAGCTGGCCATCGCAGTGGAGAAGGACTTCAGGCTGGAGGCGACCTCTATCAGCTGCAGCGCCACCTAGGAAGAAGGAGGCGTAAAGGACAGCATGCAGAGGCAGCCATGCTGGAGACCATAGCGGTGGCGGGCATCTGGACCAGGGAGCGTCGCAGGGCGGCCAACCTCAACCAAGAAGGCGACGACACCTGCGCGAGATGCGGCGAGGCGATAGAGACAGAGGAACACCGCTACTATGCATGCCCTGCCAACGCAGAAATAGGGCACAGCAATGACACCGACCTGGCGAAGAAGGCGAAGGACGCGCTGGACCAGCGGCAGGACCTGCATTTCTGGCTCCGAGGCATCCCGCCAGCGGCCTGGGCAGCCAAGGTCGACCCAGACGAAGACGCGGCGAAGGCGGCGCAGATCTTCTGCACCAGCGAAGAGGCACAAGCTGCAGCCCAGTCAGGGCACAAGGTACGAGCAGACTATGTTTTTACGGATGGCTCAGGTGGTGCAGGGGAAACGGCCAGGGACCCCCGCCTCAGACGCTGCGGCTGGGCAGTGGTGGCATTCAGGTTCGACGAACAAGGGCGTCCGCAGGAAGTGGCTGCCTGGCACGGCACAATCAGGGCACCGCACACGGTGCCACGGGCAGAGCTCACCGCCATGAGCAAAGCCATCGGGTACACCACGGCGGCGACAGCCAGGGGGCTCAACATAGTCAGCGATTGCAAATGCGCCCTGGACGCACTCAAGCAGATCCAGGACCCTGAGGATCTGGACTACAGGAGCACGAACTGCGACCTCTGGCTCCAGACGAAGCAGCAGCTACAGAACAGCACGGACACCATCATGGGCCACCACATCCCGAGCCACCTGATTGAGCACCCAACCGAGCTGGAGAGGTGGAATGGTCCCACCTGGTGGGTCATAGGTAACGGGATGGCAGATAAGTACGCGGGTTGGGGGGCGGAGCACGGAGCACTGGATCCAGATATCATCGTGCAGCAGCAGATCAGAGACCAGATCACCATGGCGGTGCAGAACCGACTGCTGGCCATCAACATGGCGGCGACGGTGGAGGACCCCAACAAGGCCCCTCAGCGCCCCAAGGCCAAGCGGCGAAAGCCGCAGACGGCGAGGGACAGGGCAGCCCAACAGGGACACGACCTGCGAAAACTACATCCGCGATGGTGGTGTGCAACGTGCCGCAGTGGCCCAGCCAAAAGGACAAAGCATCAGAGACTGGTTGGCAGAGACGGGAAAATGCCTCGGGAAGTACGGCGGCCACCAGGACCAGCACGGCAACGTCAGGCTCGACTTCAAGGCGGTGCAGATCGGCACGCAGGTGGTGCACGGCTCCCACAAGACGCAGTGCACCCATGGCTGGCTCTGGTGCGAGAAATGTGGCGGCACCAGCTACCTTGGGGACCACAAGAGCAGGATCGTGGCAGGAGTGGCAAGGAAGCTGGCAAGGCCATGTCAGCCCCCAGCAGCAGCAGGGCGGCGAGTCTTGGAGGACATGCAGAGGGGCAAGCTGCCTAGAGGAGCTAAGCCAGCAGCAGACCCAGCTGATGAGGGTCTCGACGAGATCACCATGCCAGGTGAATTCAAGCTCGGCCAGACTAACCACGAGGTGATCGATCTGGACGGGGACAGCTCAGAGGCAGGGGACCCGCAGCCAGCTCCGCAGCAGCCACCCAGCCATCCGTACTCTGTCGTCCACGCCAGCTTGAGGCTCGTCGACCACATGGAGGGCTACGCAGAGCTGTGGATGAACATGGTCGACCAAGGGGTCTGGGACGATATGGACGACTGGATGGAGCACTGCGTACTTACCGCACCTCCTGGCCATCACCAATGTGGGTGGCAGGACGGACACGCAAGAGCAGACCAGGGCCGTCACCGCGCAGGAGATCCAGCAGATAAAGGACGTCTGCGAAGAAGTCTGGCGCAACACGCACCGCACGCGACGGAGGCTCATGACCAGGATGCTTACCCTCCCGTATGGCGCATGGCAGCAGGCAGCAAGAGTGCACATGGACGCCTTTCACAACAGAAGGAACAACATCATTGCGCACAGCATCCCCAGCAGTGAGCGCAGGCCGCTGCCGAGAACAGCGGAGGCCAGCCGAGAGTGGTCAACAGAGAACCTGGACGATGAAGACTCGACCCCAGACAGTGAAGCCCCAGAGCTGGAGGGCGAGCCGAGCAGCCAGGAGATGGAGACCATGGCGGGACCTGATCAGAGGCACGACGCCAACAGCCTGATGCAGACGGCAGTGCAGGTGGCAGTAACGCTGACCAAGCCAGTGGGGCCCGACCTGATGAAGTTCGTGAGCGAAGCTGACGAGGCTGGCTTGCTCCACCCAAGGCTTCGACACAACAAAGGAGAAGCTGACCAGGACCCCGAGCAGGAGGTGGCGTGGCTCGAGAGGAACAGGCTCGAGCAGCTCATGCAGTCGCTGGCAGGCTGTTGGAGCCAGAAAGAGGGCGAGCTGGGCTGGCCATCGTGGCAGGCCGCGTGCGTGCCCCATGTGCTGAGGGCGCTGCAGACTGGCGCCTACCAGAGGCTTTTCAGCCACGTGTCAGGGACGAGCCGCCAGCGCAGCCAGCGCCGAGCGGCGGAGGAGATCTGCCGCCTGGCATGGCTCAACAGCGGAGAGGAGCGCAGACAGATCCAGCAGCAGGACCCGAAGGAGGCAGAGCGGCGCAGAGCAACGGCTGAGCAGATCCTGGGCGTGACTGAGCCAGAGGTGAGGAGCCGCAGCCCGCGACCGCAAGCAGCAGGGCGAGTGCCAAGCAGGGCTCCAGCCAGACAGCCGAGGAGGCCCCTGTGCGGAGAGGGGACAGGCCACCATGGACCCCTGCGCGGCGAGGGGTTAGGCCGAGGAGGACCCCAGCGTGGCGAGGGGTTAGGCCACAGCCCTGCGCCAGACGGGATGCAGAGGGGTGCCCGTCCCCCACCAGCAGGACGCAGCACCAAGGACATGGCAGACCTCGACCACTTCCCTGAAGAGGAGAACAGAGAGGACAGCCCCCAGCAGGCCGTAGACAAGCAAAGCAGCGATGACAACCACCAGCAGTTCCCAGATGTACAGCACAGCATAGGGCACCACCTGGCAGACCGCAGAGGACCCCAGCGTGGCGAGGGGCTAGGCCACGGAGGACCCCAGCGCGGTGAGGGGTTAGACCGCAGATCCAAAGACAAGCAGAGGATCGAGGCGGAGGTCCCTGACGAGCCCAGTGAGCATGACGCGGACGTCTTGACCAACAGTGTGGTAGATAGGACCTCGCCACTAACAGAGCGGACCCATACCCTGGGAAACCGACAGACTGAACGCGAGGGGGAGGGCTTGGCCCGCGGATACCACGTGAACCGCGAACACAGCGAGTGGCATAGTCGGGGGACCTCGCCTGAGCCAGTGTGCAGCAGCACCGAGGATGGGGACAGTGCGAGACTCGGCGCTCCCCCGCGTGGCGAGGGGTTAGGCCACAAAACAGCGCAGCCTGAGAAGGCGGCAGACTACGACGATACAGACCTGCAGCGGGACTTGAATAAGATCGTCGGCGACCCACCCCAGCGCGGTGAGGGGGTAGACCGCAAGGCTCCCCTGCGCGGCGAGGGGTTAGGCCACGGAAATCCCCTACGCGGTGAGGGGGTAGACCGCAGGACCAAAGGCAAGCAGAGGCTTGAGGCGGAAGCCTATGACGTGCCCAGTGAGCAAAAAGCTGACCTTTTGACCAACAGTGTGGTAGACAGGACCTCGCAACTAACAGAGCGGACCCAAACCCTGGGAAACCGACAGACTGAACGCGAGGGGGAGGGCACGGCCCGCGGATACCACGTGAACCGCGAACACAGCGAGTGGCAAAGTCGTGGGACCCCGCCCGAGCCAGGGAGCAGCAGCACCCAGGACGGGGACAGTGCGAGACGCGGCGTACCCCCGCGCGGTGAGGGGTTAGACCGCAGCAGGCCCCAGCGTGGCGAGGGGTTAGGCCACGGAGTACCCCAGCGCGGTGAGGGGTTAGACCGCAACGATCCCCAGCGCGGCGAGGGGTTAGGCCACGGAGGACCCCACAGTGGAGAGGGGTCAGACAGCAGCAGGCCTCCGCGTGGCGAGGGGTTAGGCCACAAAGGACCCCAGCGCGGTGAGGGGCTAGACCGCAACAGGCCCCAGCGTGGCGAGGGGTTAGGCCACGAAGCACCCCAGCGCGGTGAGGGGTTAGACCGCAGCAGCCCCCAGCGTGGCGAGGGGTTAGGCCACGATATTCCCCAGAGCGGTGAGGGGTTAGACCGCATTGACCCCAAGAGTGGCGAGGGGTCAAGCCACGATGAGCCCCAGCGCGGTGAGGGGTTAGACCGCAACAGACCCCAGCGTGGCGAGGGGTTAGGCCACCACGGAGCACCCCAGCGCGGTGAGGGGTTAGACCGCAACAGGCCCCTGCGTGGCGAGGGGTTAGGCCACGGAGCACCCCAGCGCGGTGAGGGGTTAGACCGCAGCAGCCCCCAGCGTGGCGAGGGGTTAGGCCACGAGCTTCCCCAGCGCGGTGAGGGGTTAGACCGCACCGACCCCCAGCGAGGCGAGGGGTTAGGCCACGGAGGACCCCTGCGCGGCGAGGGGTTAGGCCGCAACGCGCCCCAGCGTGGCGAGGGGTTAGGCCACAGCTCTGCGCCAGGCAGGGCGGTCGAGAAGGCCCATGAGTCCAGGGACCAGCAGCCAGGGCGGTCCCTGGAAGAGCGCAGAGCGGAGGAGCGGCTGCGGCCGTCCATCAGGCTGCTCCTCAAGCTCTGAGTGGGCAGCGGCAGCATTTCTTCAGACTGCCGCTGCTCACGGGGCGACTCCATGAGTCACAGAGTGGCGGCAGTAAGACGCCGTGAGATGAGGCCGCTGGCCCACCCCGCCTCGGGCCGTTCTGCCCGCGCGGAGTGACGAGACCAGGGGCACCCACTTGCGGGCGGGGACACGCGGGTTTAAACCCCTCCTCCTCCTCCTCCTGTTCCTCCTCGTGGCTCCGCTGGAATGTCGACCACCTCGAACAAGGACAGCTCCTCAGGCCGAGATGGCGCGACAACTGCACCAGGCAACCGCGTGTGCTTACAACCGGTGCCGTCCATTTCGCAGCCTGTTCCGTCCGGTCTTGGCGTTGTGATCCCGAGGGTCCTTTGGGACGCGCTGTGAGGAGACCACCTGCGCGAGCGCTCGAAAATGAGCCGCACTCCCGACATAACGTGTAGCGCACGATTCTACACAGCTTACACCGACAGGGTCCCTTGCAAAAGAGCCTGCTCGACACGAGAAGCCTCCTTCCAGCGCCCATGGGAGAAAAATCAACCACGGCAATACTTACGCGAGAGCACAGCCCTGGCCTTGTCGCTATGCGCTCGCTTGGCACACTTGCGGCACCGCCAAGACCCCTGGGCCCATTCGAAAACATGCCGACCCTCCTCAGGGTGGAGCAGGCACGCCGAGGACGAGGGCGAGGGAACAGGGCGGCATTCTTGCAGCGGCCCATGGTGTCGTCGAACGTGCCGATCGTAGCGGTCATCGACCCTACCAGCCCGAGCATAGCAAAGACCTCAGCGGTCCTCGTAGCCCAGGTAGCCGTGAGGTGCTGAGGGACTGGGTACAAACGGGTTCCTCCTTCGCCTAGAGGTCGGCCGCCTGGTTGCCCGAGTAATCGCACCGCTCGGGTCCCTCGAGCAGCTCGGCATCGGACTTTCTGGAATGCGCCTTGACTTTGACCACCTCCACAGACCCCACCCCCGAGTAGGAATCTTGGATCTCATTCCAGATCATGTACCAGAGCTCGGCGTAGGGCTGGGGAGCCTGGCGGCACCAGGCAGCACTGCGGCGATACCCGCGGACCACCGAGGCATTGCCAATATCTGCTCTCAACGGGGCCGATCGACTCTGGGCCCACGTTGTTCCTTTGGCGGATGGGCGGTGGGCGAGCAAGCCAGGCGAGCAGGTCTGTCGGCTGCTCGGATACCTGACTTGCCACTTGAAAGTGTCACGTCGCCACCCTCCCATGCCATCAGGGTGAGAAGACGAGGATGAGGGGGACGAGGATGAACCACACTGCGCAGGAGAGCTCATAAAGGAGGATGGCCGGAGATGGAAGGCGTCCGCCGGTCAGAGAGGAGGGCGGACGGGGATACGGTCCTCGTGCGACCATGAGGACCGCATGAGGAGGAACGGGAGGGCTTCTCTGGCCACGGCGGGCCTACGTAGTAGGCTTGTGGATGCCACGGCAATGGACACCCTAACATTCCGATAATTGAATTTAAACTGTGTTTAAAATGCTGGAAAATGGTCTAAACATATTTTGAATATGTGCTTTTACATGTATAAAACATGTTTAGCACATGTTTCAGTCATCTGGAAATTAGTTGGCAACATGATTCCTCTCCATTGATCGCCCTCCACAAACGTAGGCCACAAACAAGTTCCACGGCATAAACCTAAGGAACAGCCCGAACACACGAGCCCCTCCTGAGCCCAAAGCGGTCTTTATTTCTGCGCCTTGACTGCACAGGGGAGGAGGCACGTCGTGCCCCCTGGCGGACCGCCCAACCGCACGAAGAGGAAGGCGACGAAGAGTGCGGCTCACCCCGATCGTGCCTCTGACCCTGAGATTCGTCATTGCAGAACAAACTGCAACATCGCCAAAACTCACGACCGGAGCCCCCGACCCCATCTGTCTGCGTCCTGTTCCGAGCCAGGTCGATCTGTGAGGGTCCCAGGGCCCCCAGACCGGCCGAAAAGGCTCGCTTGTTGGTTCCAAAAACAGACAAACCAAACAAACACGCCAGGATGTTGAGGCTCGTCGCGCGAAGAGGCTCGCCGTGGGAGAGAAGGAGCGCCCGGATCTCGAGGCTCGTCACGCGTGCTGCCTCTGAGCCGCGCAAGCCCTCGGCAGACCCGCGTGATTTTGCAGGAAGGGGGAGGAGGAGAAGGGGGAGGAGGGGGAGGAGGAGGAGGAGGAGGAGGAGGAGGATGGGGAGGGAGGAGGAGAGGAGGAGGAGGAGGAGGAGGAGGGGAGGAGGAGGAGGAGGAAGAGGAGGAGGGGGAAGGAGGAGGAGGAGGAGGGAGGAGGGAGGAGGAGGAGAGGAGGAGAGGAGGAGGGAGGAGGAGGAGGAGGAGGAGGGGAGAGGGGAGGGGGAGAGGGAGGGGGAGAAGGAGGAGGGGGAGGAGGGGGAGGAGGAGGAGGAGGAGGAGGAGGAGGAGGAGGAGGAGGAGGAGGAGCAGGAGCAGGAGGAGGAGGGGGAGAGGGGACAGCTGGGAGGGCGGGAAGCCCTGCGGGCAGACGCTGGGCAGGCGAGGGGCGGCGGAGCTCCCGGAGGAGTCTCTGGGAGTGCGGGCTCGCGGCGGCGCGACTCCCAGCAGGCCCTGGGGGGCCCTCCCACGTTAGGGTTAAGTCGGGCCTGTCCTCGTACAGGCGGATTCGGGACGAGAAAGGAAAAATAGTCCAACAAGTACTCCCATTGGTCAAAGAATACCAAGAAATCGTCCCCGGATTATTTTTGACTATTCTTGATTATTCCTCCTGTAGAGGGACAGGCCCGACTGAACGTCAGGGATGGGGCGCTCCCAGGGCACGCGCGTCCGACCCGAACATCTGGTAGAACCGTTTTGTGGTGCATCGCTTCCCCCCGCGGTACGACCAGAACGCGCCCGCCACGACGCATGCACTGGAAGATTTCTCGGTGCGCGCGTCGCCCGGAGGGGGGGGGGGGGGGGCGATGCGCACAGTATTAGTATGTTTGGGTGCCGCGGGACGGAGGCCGTGGGCGTTGTGAAGCAGATCTGTAGCGAGAGGCCGAAGATGCTGGCGCGGCTTAGCACAGGCGCGCTCAGCACGCCGCGGTGGCGTTCCGCGCGGAAGAGATCGTGGGCGAGCATCATGTCCGTATCTGTGGTCCTGCTGGGCCGGGCCCCTGGGCCGCGACCCCGCGGATGCGGGGCGTTTTTTCGCGGATGCCCCGCGCGGAACGTATCCGTGCGACCGCGTATCCGCGATCGCGCCCAAGAGTCCACACAACTAGGGCGCGGGCGGCGAAGATCCGTATCCATGAGGGCGCGGATGCGAATGTTCGCCGCTTGTGACGGCCAGCCCGAAGCCTCGCCAAGGCAAAAGGGGGCCAAAGGCGCTGAGCGTGCAGCTGCGCCGGCGGGGCAGACTGAGGGCGACGAGGGAGATTGGCACGAACAGTCAACCATATGCGAACCCTGCTCCTGCACGCCAGATTTCTGAAACACCGGCTGGGGTTCAGAATTCGAAGGATGTCATCAGCCAAATGAACCCCAGCGGGGGTGTGAGACAGCGTTGATTGGACGCGCAGTGGTAGGGTTCGCCAAAAGGGCGCGGAACGAAAGAGAGGGGCCCTGAGGGAAACAGGGACCGGCTCTTCGTCCTGAGCCCTGTGCAGGCGGTCCCGGGGCCCCTGGGAGGGCCCAGGAAGCCGACGACGGCGAGCAACCTCCAGGGCGCGACTCCCTCTGGATATCCGCATGCCCCCTGGCGGCCGGCAGCTGCGAGCGGCCTCACGAGAGCGAGCCGGGTGGCGGGAGACCGGCGGCACGGCGGGCGGCAGCGGGGCGGCATGAGCGCAGCAGGGCGCCACCACGGCGCGCGGCCTAGCGCACGGCGTGCCCGCGCTGCTGCACCCGGCCCTGGGGGTGATCGGGGCCGAGCACCACATCCGCTGTGGAAGCGATCGCAGTCGCACATGCAGCAAAATAAGGAGCCGATCTCTCTCTCTCTCTCTCTCTTTGCTCTCTCTCTCTCTCTCTCGCTCGCTCTCTCCCTCTCTCTCTATATATACATATGTGTGTGTATATATATATATATATATATCGACGCTTTTTTTTGGCCCCGCCCTGGAACTCGCACAGGAAAACGGATCCTGGTGTATACTGGATGCTGGTGTATACATGTTCCGTTATTTCCCCAGGACACTT